AAGACACAGGTCCATCGAGTTCAAACTATGTGTGTGTCTGGATATTTTTGGCTCTTAGTTCCCATATCCTTGTATATGTAGTGAACTAAGAAACTCACCTAAAAGCTTCTTGAATTCATCAATGCCATCAGCGGATACTACTGACTGTGGAAGGGAATACCACATTTTTACTACTCGCACAGTAAAGGACCCCTTGCGAAGTCTAAGATTAAACCACCTCTCTTCTAACCTCTTGTTGTGTCCTTGTCCCTGTGTCATCAATACAGTTCTTGGTGTAAACATTTTATTCCGAATATTGTGGTCCCCATTAATGACTTTGAAAATTGCAAATAAGTCTCCTCTTAAACGCCTCTCTCCTAAGGAGAACAAGTTTAATCTTTGGAGTAGGAAATCACTGATCTTCATAGCTCAAGCCTTCCATCCCCCGTATTAAATTTTGTAGCTCTGAACTTGCTGAAGTTCCAGGACATATTTCCTGACGGTTGGTGACCAAAACTGAACCACATACTCAAGGTGAGGCTAAACCAGTTTTTTTTTTTTTTAATCCCGTGGACGTGCATCAAAACAAACTTCCCTCTGTGAACAAAAAAAGTGAACCGTGAAATCACAGCACACAAAAACGTGCACAAGGTCCTTCCAAAGAAGGGACCTACTTTCCGGACCCCCGGGGCGCAAGGCTCCTGGCAGGGGTTGAGACTGTTGGTCCACCAACCCGAAGGCCGGTGGACCCATTACCTTCGGGGACCTCCCGCAGCAGGTCCCTCACAGTACTAGGCAGGGGGGATCTCCCAAAGAGAAACCCCCCCTCTTGGATGGGAGAAGACAGAGAACCCCGTAGGAGGCACAGAATCTCCTCCCAACATCAGGAATAGGCCCCGAAGAAACCTGCACCTTCAGCATCTGTTGGTCAATGCTTTTAAAAAAAGCCAATCGTGCATAGAGTGCATAAATAATAAAGTGCCAGTGCACCACGCTGACAGGCCTTAGGGGCCGAGTGCAAAAAAATTGCCCCGGACTAGCCATAAGGCCTGTCCAAGAGGCGATGTGCAGAAAATGCAAGGTGGTGTGTGACCAAGTGATCAGTGAGTCAATGTGGGGTCCCACACCCAAGTGACTTCCTGAGCACCTCTGGGACGTGGCGTCCCAGGGGTGCTCAGGAAGTCACTTGGGTGCCCAGGGGGCACAATACCACGAGCTTCTGCCGCCCCCAACCCTCTAGTCTCGACCAAGCTTCGTATCCATTCCCATCAGGAGATAGTTCACCTTCAGAGATCCCTCCACCGGAGCCCACCCATTACCTAGGGTCGAAAGCTCAGAGGGCTTGGAACCTCATCCGGCTCCCTACCAATTACGCCAGGAATCTACTGGTCCGTCCATCCACCCCGCTCAAAGTGGCAGCAGACTTTTCAATTCCTGACAACTGATAAGAACAGATACTACACTTGATCTTAGCCAAAAGGGAACCAGTGATTTATATACAAGACACCTCTGGCCAACTGGGTGAAAGACCTATCAGACATACCTGTAAATCCTTCTTCCCAGGTCCACTACATTAAACATTGGAGATATTTTCCCTCACTTGCTGTCCTAGTGACACTTTGTGTCATAACCTGACACACAGGATGTCACCAGGAGAAGATGTTGGGGGAAGATCTCCCCAAGATGGACCCAGACAGAAATATAAACCTGACAGAGACTCTCACACGCCCAAACCCTATCGAAAAAAGAAAGAGTATTGATTGTAGTTGGGCTTTAGGTCTAATTTATACTTGCGTTTGTGGCAGTCTCACGCCCATATCCATCCCCATGCAATCGGACATAAAGCGATTGATTACCTGCAGACAGTCGCCCCCGGATGCAAACAGTTTGTGTCCACTTAACATTTTATCAACTTTTAAACTGCAAATTTGCATATAGCTCACAGCAAGCAAATAACCGCTCCCAATCTCCTACTAACTCCCCCCACCTCAAGAGCGTCCCTGGCGCATGTACTGATCATGTCTACGCTCCAAGTTCTCGATGGGTCTTCACCAAATCTAAAATCTTTATTCGAAAGATGATAGCTACTGCCAATCCTCCACTGTGAACCACCTGTGCTAACGTGTTTCAGCCATTGGGCTTAGTCCTAGAGATTAAGCCCAATGGGTGAAATGCAATGATGTTCATCCATTGAGTGAACCACCTGTCTCTAACATGATTTATCGTTTGGACTTAATCTTTACATCTAAGCTAATTGGGTGAAACACAATAAAGACAGGTAGCCCACACTGGATGATTGATTTCAAATAAAGATTTTACATTTGGATCAGAGCCGTGGAGTGAAGCCATTGTGTGGGACTTGCAGATTTGTGTATGTTTGCAACAGTTTTTGATTTTACGTATTGCATGAGCACCACTTAATTTTTATTTTAATAGTAAATTAAATATAATTTACTATTAAAGAATCAAAATGTTGTCTAAACCTCATTTGTGGGCTTGTCTAATTTTCACACAGGGCCGAGGCGCTTTGGCTAACCATTAGGTAAGCATATCCTGGTATGTGCCCAGCTCTGCTGTAAAGGAGGAACAACTGGGAAATAAACATTTTTGGCCCAAAACAGGTAAATATGGGATGAAATGCAAATGTCAAAATAGATGTTCAGCTCCTTTTATGCCAACATACTAAAGAAGCCACTTCTCCCACCTATAATCTAACACCTCTCCCACCTACAATCCATTCATCCATACATCTCCATTCATTAACAAGGACTCGTCCACCCGACAGCACTAAAAAGTCCTTGTTAAAACTCCCACATGACTCCCACAGGAGCTGGCCTTGCAACACAACTGCAACAAACACACTGCCATGTGCTTTGTGGCCTCTCAAATAGATGCGTTATTTCATTCAACTACAAAGCAGGCTGAAGTTGCTTTATTTCAAATAAAAGCCGTCGGTGCAAGATACAGGTATGACGTACAAAGATCACATCTATACACGGACAAAATCATCTGCCGGGTCAGGAAAGCTTCTCTGATGAACTATTCATCCTGGAAAATCAGTGCACTACAAGGCTCAGCACACCCTTCAGTCTTTATGAGCAAGGCACGTTGGGACTTGCAGTTCCATAACTGCTCGAATGTCACCAGTGCCTATTTCAGATAAGCTTATAATTGAGGTTGGTGGGGCAGCAGAAGCCTTGACCATAACGTGTTAGCATGCTCAGCATTCTTGCACATTATGGCAGACTTACTTCTTCATTTGGTCTCCTTTATGAGGGCGTGCATGCCTGCGTTTCCCGCTGCCGACATCTTTTGCGGCACATGATCCGCATCCAACGTCTTTGCTCTTCTGCCATTGGACATCTAGTGATGATGTAACTCCTGTGCAGGGACACAGGAGTTACATTATCCTGGCACCCGGCTCCATTCTCGGCATCTCACAGATGTCAATAGCGAACAGATTGTGTACACTGCACTGTGAACGTGCCGCAGGCTAGAAGAGAGGGAGAAGAGATTTTCTTTTTTGGCAGAAAGTCTTTTACTAAAACCTCTACCCCATGGCAATTCATTTTGTTAGACTTTCATTTTACCTTAAGGCCCTTTTTACAGTATTACTTGCATTGGTGCACTGTGGTGCCTCCCAACGCACCTCCTCAGCACAAAGTATATTGCTGTGCACTGTGGCAAATGCTGCATGCAGCTTTTTCGGTGCGTTAGGTATCACGATGAAGTGAATGGGCTACCCTAACGCAAAGCAACAAAGCACATGCAACATGGGGCATGTTATCGTTGTGCAACAAGGTGAACCTGGCTTTGAAGCCTATTTCCAAGAAAAAAAATACTCCCCTTGTAGTGGTGCTACCACCAAACTGCAAGGGTCAACTGCTCATTTTTGTGTAGGGGACCTGTGTGAAGGACTTTTACTTACCTGATCCCCACTCCTGCTGGCTCCAAGACTGGTGCCTACAGCTTCTTCCCCTCCAGCGGCTGGAGGGCCACTGATGTCATCACATCTGATGCATGGCCCCGCCATTATATGTGAGGATACCAAGAGACAGTCCATAAGCTGGAGCGTATGGGGAGAGTTTGGACTACCAGGGGAGCGGGAATCAGGTAATCATCAGTTACCAAGTTTTCTTATTACCCCGGAGATGGCCTGAAGGGCCAGTTCACACCATCGGTGCAAACGTTTTTACCGGAACATTCTGCCTTGTCATGAATGGGCTCGATTCAGAAAAAAACTGAGCTTAAAAAAGTACGGCATGTAATATTCATTTTATTAAGTGCACCAGTGAGACGCACCTATTATATTTTAATAAAGTTCTCCCAAATGAAAATGAAAAAAGGAAACAGTGCGATGTGGCTCGATCAAGCACACTGGCACTGTTCCGGGAACACGCACACCACCAGCCGATCGGTTGAGAGTGGTAGCGGGTGTGAATGTATAGAGACAAGATGTCACCAGCACACCGAGGAAGTATCACAAAAACCGTCTTTTATTGACGCATATTGTCACAGGGTTGGCAACGTTTCAGGGGCCACATGGGTCCCTTCATCGGGCTCAGTGTGGTGCTGGTGTGAATGTATCCGTAAAGGAAACCTATATCATCTAAGCTGCCACTGCTGACCTCTCCCTCAAAAAATGCCAGTTACCGGATTGTCATGCTGATCCCAAGGTTTCAATACTGACCCAGGCCGGTTCTGATTTCACTTGCTGCATGCTTGTTCCAGGTCAGCAAGTCCTGGAAGTATTACAAGTGCAAACAGCCAAGCAATGAGCATTTTCAGAAGACATGCATCGGACAGCCTCTTTATTGTTCTCATTCCTTTGTAGTCTTTCATGGTTCTTTAGCTGCCAGGGAACTAGCAGTGCCAGCATGCCCAGTGAGCAGCTTGCAGTGACATATCTGGGTCATGCCATTCCATATGTAGACAATCCCTTGCAGTAAATGAAATCGGGTGCTATGAAATGTCATTTGTCCTCCACCCTGAAACTGACCCATTCCGTGTCCTCATCTTACCTGCCAGGATCACATCCACAGTGCTTAGAATGAGCCCCGTGATGAGGCTCGCCAGCCCCGGGTTCACCATGCTTCCTCAGCGCCTTTCCATCCCCCTTGGCAGCTTCATAGCAGCGGATCCGAGCCGATCCCACCGGGGCAGTGCGGTACAGATCACCTCCCGACCCGTCAGTGCAATGATCAGTGAGTGACAGCTCCGCTCCGTCCAACTATGCGGACAGGTACCATGCTCTGCTCCCGGCCACACACACCATCAACAGATGAGTCCGAGCGATCAGTGTATGGGAGGCAGCCAAGCAGGCATTGCACGATTCATGCAGGGGATGCACATCAGCCCCCTCACTTTGCCAGCTCCCCCCCAGCCCCCAGATCCGCACCGATCACTGTCCCCGGGAATGGCAATCCTACATCTGTCCAAGGTGCAGGAGCAGCCCAATGCTTGCAGCTGTAAGGTCCGGTGCAGGAGAGGGGGACGCCGTTCTCAATCCAGCCACAGACAAGCCGACGTCTCCTCCTTTTCCTGAGCAATACAAAGTGCTATGTATACTGGGAAGGCTGAGAGCTGGGAGTGCAGCAGGAAGAGGCGTGCAATGCTCAGGCTGCCCCCGCCGTCTATGTGCTGTGCGAGCGCCCTCTGCTGGCAGATAATGGGTACTACAGCTCCGATTCTTCTCCGTGTTATCCAGGTTATGGGAAGGATCCCTGGAGCCCAACCTGCGGTGCTCTCCAACTTATTGTGTGGCCCTCGGGGCCCCTGCAGGCACCAATGCTTTCATTATCATATTCTTAAATAGTTATTAAACCCTCCGTTTTTTTTGCATGTATCTACTGCTAGCAAGCAGTAGATATATGCAAACACTTTTTATTTTTTTTAAAGCCTTTTAAAACAGGTTAATACACACCTGCGTCTTCGTGGCGCGCTCCCGTACGAAAATCTGAAATATCTCGGGTGGCCGCAAAGGATCTTGGGGCGGGCGAGACACAAGGTAAGTCAATGGACAGCCTGCACCCGCTTGCAGACACCATGGGACAGGAAGTGCCAGCAACACAGAGGAGTCAGTGCTGGATCAGAGACCCGCAGCAGCGCTGGAGGGACAGCAGAAAACGACAAGAAAGAAGAAGATCGGATTAGGAGACATCATTTAAGGTAAGTCCTTACACTAGCATTGGGGGAGGGAAAAAAATATATACTTTAATGTCACTTTAAGACAGTAGTTGTTAAATGGTTTGGTTTATTGCTATCGTGCAATCCTCTTTGTTCACACCATTTCTGTCCACATGCAGCACTACCAGCTTTCTGGTTGGGCAGGAGATCTGTACACAACATGTCCCTCCCCCACAGCGTGGTTGGACAACAAAAGAAGAAGCAGCAGACTGATAAGCTCACCTCCCTGTCACTTTGCTCTCACCTGCTATGAGTATGCCAATTGTTAGCAGATGAACACTGCAGCAAAACTGATTGGCTCCTTTTTCTGCTGCTTCCTCTCCCCCTCCATGTCTGAGCTCTGCTGTGCAATGATTACAAGAGGCTGATAGCAGGTCAAATTCAGAAACTAAAGCTGGCCATACACTGTTCTTTTTTCTTCCTTCAACACACAGGCTGAATGAAATAAATGGAACAGTTTCCACCATCAATACTTATTAGCGTTGATGGATGAATCCCCCGCGGTTTCTTTGGTATTCTGACAGTGGCTGCCGCAGCTGATTAGCTGCAAGCACCATTCGTTCCAAGATTTTCCTTTCCTTTGATCTTCTGTTGAAGGGATGCCGGTTGGAAGGGTGACAACAGGGGCACCCACTGTGTGAATTTTGGCCCGTTTATCCAAAACCACCCACACTTCTCATAGTGTACGAGCCGCTTTATACCCTGTTCACACCTAGGCGAATCAGGAACACATTTTGCGTTCTTGCATGTTCTTTCTCATTCATGCTTGTTTTTTGCCGACGTTTTTCACGCATCCTTATTGATTTCAATGGGTGCCACACTTGATAAACGCGGGAAAGTAGCTCATGTAGTAGATTCTGCTACACATGTCCCGCGTTTTCTTCCCGGGCATTTGTTTCTCGACCAATGACTGGACTATCCTGTCACCATCGTTCAGTTTGCTAACGACCAGTGATGGGATAATCCCGTCATTGGGTACAATGAGAGCTGGTCCATGAAGGGACAAGCAGCTCATTGAGTTGTCTGCTGTTGATGGGTCCCTCGGGGTCCGAGGCAGACCCTCAACAGTAAAATAGGTGGTCACAGTCGTGTGATCACAGCGAGAGCTGAGCGCTGTGATCGCAGAACCGCGACAGTCACAGAGGCGGCAGCTGTCAGCGGTGATTTGTAAACTGCTAGCCGGGCTGTGTTTACTAATTGATGCAAAGTATCTCTGAGGAGAATAATGTATTCTAATTAGAAATACTAAGTATCAAAGCCCCGGTAATTTAAAAAAAAGAACCCCTTAGTGCCCCTAGTTTAAAACATTAAAATGAAAATAAAAAAATAAAGTTTTAAAAATGTTTTTTAAAAAAAGAAAAACGCAAAAACAAAAAAATATTTAATAAAAAAATTGATAAGAAAATATAGTGCTGAGGAGGCTATTAAAGATAGGAGACAAACATACCACATTGTGAAATTGTTCCACGCTAAAATTGTATTTCACTCCTTGTATTTTGTGACCTATAACTCCCAAGATAAATGGAAATCCCAGACATATGATAAACCCCATAAATCAGGACAAATATAATCATTTATTATTAATTCCTTTCTGTTAGCTACACTAATTATGTAATTATGTACACACTGTTATTGCCAAAACTGAAAAAAAACAAATGTCAATGTTTTTTATTTTTTAGAAATAAATAAAAATGTATATATGTATGTGTCACATCAATTTAACCTCCATGGCGGTCTGATTGTTTAATTTTTTTTTCCATTTTTGTTCCTATTTTTTCTTGCTTTTTTTCTTCTGTACGTTTAAAACTCCCACCGGTTCCGCCCCTCCGTGACGCGTATGCTCGCAAGGGACGGAACCTGGAAGACGGATGCCAGCATCGGCCGGAGGACACAGCGGGGATTGTGGACAAGGTAAGTGGGCGCTGTGTAATCCCAAGTGTCGCTCGGGGTTACCGCTTTTGGTACTGAAAATGAACCCCGAGCCACACTCGGGAATACCGCCAAGAAGGTTAAACCCCATTTTGTCCTTTAAAAAACGGTATATAATATGTGTAGGTGCAATGAATGAGGAAGATTATGGCTAAACAAACACATAGCAAAAATGGCAGAATTGCTCCGGTTCCCAGAAGCGAAAACATTTTCTGAAGCTGTGTCACTAAGGGGCTAATGGGTGCGATCGCGCGGAGAAAATGCACATTTTGCTGGACAAGTTTGAAGTGCAGTTAACAAGTAATGCCACTGCAGGCGCATTGTACGTTTTAGATGTGTTCCGTGAATGCGCGTCAAAGCATGTGTTTTTTCCTGCATTTCGTGCGCGTTCACGGAAATGCAGGTGCTGCGCAGCAACTGCTGTGTGCAACTGCACAAAATCGCACTGTCCTGGGACGCGCATCCCGGACCGCCCAGGTCTGCACCAGAGCTAAAGCAGCAGGCTTCAGGACCGGCACCTAAACCTAACTTTACCAACAAGTGAACAATGGACCTGAAACAAGCAGACGGCCAGTGAAGCTTGAACTTCTGCCCTGCACGCTTGTTCCATGTCAGCCACTTATTGGGTAGAACATTAAGGAAAACGGACGCAAAGCCTCCACCTTTGTCAATGGCTATAGGCACCTCCATTCTTCTGTCCTCAGAAAAGTTAATTTGTTGCATACAAACTCTTTACAAGTCATTTAAAATATATAAAACATCAATTTCAGCTTTTGAACCTAAAACAAATATGAAATAAAGTTGATGAAAACCCCTAATCTTTTCCCTTTAGGGATCCATGATCGTTGTTGTGTCCCTCTGTTCAGCTGGTGTAAATACGTGTCCGTGGAAAAGCAGTAAATAGTTCTCCAAGAAGTGCTGACGGTGTATGAAATCAGGACTGGTGTGTGGACGTTTTGTACCCTGTGGGAAGATGTATAATTACAGATGTGGCATGGGTGTGCCTTCTGCCTAGAGGCTTTGACACAAAGACTGCCCCTCTTTCCCTCCACAGAAATAGAGCAGGTGTGCATATCTGACATTCCACTGAGACATAGAGCAGTCAAGTGTCCCTCCAGTCTTCCCTCAGACTGCAATAGGCAATACATGTAACGTAACAAAAAAATAGCAATGTACCGGACCCTGATCATTAGTTTTATGCTCTGGTTTTTGGGTTAGGATTTTGTCACCATGCTGCAGTAGGAAGAAGCAGCACCAAGGCTGTTACATTGCCCTGTAATAAAGCAGTAAGCAATCTAAAGTATGTATTATGTTTTGGGGTTTTTTCATTAGTTACAGGTTATGCTTGCTTTAGTGGTAACTTTATATTATGTTTAAGGAATATTCCACTTTTTGCAAAAGATGAACCCATAATGCAAAAAGAAAAGAATGTGCATTTATGAATTTTTTTGCTTGCAAAGCATTGCAACCACGATCGGTGGATCACGGGGCAGTGGTGTCTCTAGGGGGGTGCGGCTCGCACCTGGGTGACACCATTGGAGGGGTGACACCAAAATGACTAGCGGTCATTTTGGTGTCACCCCCTCTGAAAAGTTGAGCACTCGGTCATGGACCGAGTGCCCAACAGTTGCATGGCAGAGGAGGGGACTCAGCGGCATACCTTATTCCTCCTGGTGAATGACCCCTCCTCTCTCTGCTGGCGTCCATCACCTAGATGGCCGCCGGCAAGTAACAGTGCATGACGTTACCACGAGCGTGCACCATGACAGCGCATGCGCACAATAACATCACATGCATGCGCAATGACATCACAGTGGGGTGTCACCCCGTACCCGCTCCAGGTGACACCCACCTCGGGAGGCCCCTGATCATGTGCGCAACGCACAGGCTCTTGCAGACTATTCCCACAGCCCCAGGTCCATACGGAGGCACAGACCTTCGGTTATGGAGCTGGAGGAAATTATCAATGGACTACAATTGTGGTGACATCACCACACATGAGGGTGAGGAGGGGATGTAGAATA